TGTGTGACGGTCAGCAGTACATGCTAATGAATCAACAATTACCTGTACTATGCACTACAGGTGAGGCCTCCAAGGAATACCATGCAGCATTAATTCCACACACCTCATTCTACTGTAAATGCACAGTTAGCATGCTGAGGGTAACCATATCACAATACACAATGTATAATCTCTAATATGGAATGTTCACATTGAAAAAAATGTTTTACTTCAAACCAAACTGGTCAGAAAAAAACCTTCTAAGTAGGTTGCATGAATCAATGTGAGCAAAAGCTCAAATGCTTAAGTATGAATGTAGGTCACAGTGACATGGTTGCAAAAACATAGTAATATAAAAAATGTAGCTACATATTAAGTTTTATGACTGGAACACAAGCAAGGAATTAATTTTTAACACAAAGCCTGAGGAAAGTTAGCAGGCATGAAATACAGATCATAGAACTTCTTTTTGGCAAAAACGATGTAGAGCTATCAACATGTATCCTGTCACCAAGTTTCATCATTATAGGTATGACAGTATACATAAAACATGCCAATAACTGTCATGAGCTAAAAGCAAGACCTTTACCTAAGCCATTAAAGATGAAATATGGGTCACAATAATTCATTTTTTGTTGTAGGATTGTTGATGTTGTTGTTGGGTTTAACACCATTTTTCAGCACAATATAGGCTATACATGGTGGCCAGTATTAATGGTCGAGGAAGAACCCTAAAAATCCCTAGGAAGAACCACCGACCTACAAGAAGCTACTGGCAGACTTTCTCACTTACCCACATTAGCAGAGTCTGGACTTGAACTCACGAAGACAAAGGTGAGATGGCAGTGATCCGTAATGCTTTAGACCACTCGGCCACGTGGGCTCCTTTGTAGGATTGTGGTAGTGACTGAGATGCATATTGTCATCAACTTTTAAATTCCAGAATGAACAATGCATCAAACACAAAGCATAAAACAGAGTGGATTTCAACTGAAATGAGGGCTCATCAAGATGCATACCACATGATTCTACATAAGATAGTATGCACACAGCATGTCATGAACTAAATGCAAAACTTCTATTAAACCAGCAAAATGAGAAATATGTCACAGTGACCTTTATGGTATGGGTCTAATAGAGATGTACAAAATTACCAAAGTTTGATTTAAGCATGAACAGTAAAATCATCAAACTGCACGTAATTAATACAGGTATGTTAGAAAGCTTGTCAGTAGCTTCTCCTGGATAGATGGTTCTTTCCAGGGTTCTTCCTTCACCATTAGTACAGGCTACTATCTCATGCTAAAAAGTGGTGTTACACCATACAACAACATAATTAGTAAAATGTGAAATATAGGTCAGTGGCCTACCTTTAAGATGATGGTGCATCCTTTCATCTTATTTGATGATTCCAGGTATAACACATTTATACAAGAGATAAAACACCACATGGTTATGAGGTAAATGTAAAAATGTAACATAAACCAATAATGTAAAATGTTGGTCATAATAACATGAATCTACATGTCTGAGACATGATGCCCCAGTGCTAGACTTTAAACTGCCACATCTCAGACACTGTAGCAATATGACTGAAAAACTTTCCAAGCTATGTTAAAAATCCATATTACACATACACACACACACACACACACACACACACACTTGACTAAAGCTATAAAATGTGAGATGTAGGTCACAGTACCCTTATTTTGTGCTAAACATATGGTATTAATAGAATGCATTCTTCTATTTTTATGCTTCTTGCATGATCAGAGTATTGAGAAATAAACTTAAAACACAAAATGTAACCAAAGTCAGTAGAGCATGATATATAGGTTATACTGAACTACGTTTGTGATGATGCTGTAGTGCTAATCATGATGCATCACTTCATTAATTAGGAATAACAGCAAAAATTCTAGTGATCATGATCTAAATGCCAAAAATCAAGTAAAATGTGAAATATAGTTCACACTGACCTTCCTTTAAGGATGTGGCACTAAAAGTTATATACAATTATATAGTTAGTTGCTTTTATAATGAACAGAACTTGAACAACAAATTTCATGTACAAAATCTAACCAAAGTCTGTGAAGGTAAAGCATGAAATATGGGTCACAATGTCCTACATTTGCAAATACATCCCCACATCAAGGCATAACAGCCCTCTCATCTCCTACCCATAGTGGCAGATGCTACAAAGCCCAACCCAAAACTGCTGCCTGGGACCTAGGAAGAAATAATTGTATCTGTGTACTATGTATCTAAATTTACCTGTGTATCTCTGTCCTAAGTATTTAAATTTACCTGTGCAGATCCCGATATTGATAGCAGTGGTAATGAAAAAGCTTACATCTACTTTGTAGAAGTGCCTTTAAATATAGTTAACAACTATGAATGTTTTACCTGTAAAATGGAAGGTAGTATTATAATAATAGATGACTGCCCTTTGCATGTTATCATGACAAGATATTTCAATACATCATATCACAGATGGCAATAAAACAATACAATGATCATGATCAAATTCAACTTTCTATCATTTTGATTCAGTCAGAAAAGATTACCATTAGAGTTAACATTTTTAACAACAATACATATTGTAAACATGTGAAGACTCAACATTTCCAAGAATGAAAGCCAAAACAAATGTATAGTCAAGCAGTCATAGGAAAAACAAAAACCACTCCTTTTAAAAGCTTATTAGTAGAGTCCAACTAAAAATTGCACTAACTTAGCTCTGCCATTATGTAATGTTTGTTAGGAGTAATTAGTGTAGCAAACAACACAGACGACCGTCATCTGTGTGTGCATTATGTGATGGCAAATCAGAGACTATGCTTTTTGAAGTTAATCTTAAAAATTTAAGTCAGATTAATGCAATAGTAATAATAATAACAATGATGATAATAACAATGATAATAATAACAATATTTCATTTTTTACAAGGGAGTAACACAGCAAATATCTAATTTCCCTTGATGCCCTCTAATTAGCTAACAATTATAAAACAAATTTTTGCAAACTGTATGGTTTTAACAGATAACGTAAAGAGTTCAATACAAGGACAAACAGGGTAGTGAACATGTTATAAATACTTCATTGTATGGTGTTGGAATTGAATTATTCTGAGTCTTAGATCATAAGTGATATTATTTGCTTTGACAAACTTTGAAAAGATCTTGTTGAAGATGTGTAAAAAATAAAAGCATTGCAAACATTCATTCTATAATTAATAGTAAGCCAATTTCTATAATGTACAGAAAGCCAATTTATATAATGTTTAGAAAGCCCATTTCTATAATGTACAGAAAGCAATTTTCTATCATAAACATAAAACCAATTTCCATAATGAATATAAGGCCTATTTCTATAAAGAAAAAAAAGCCAATTCATTCACTGAATAGAAACAAATTTCTCTTAAGAACAAAAAACCAATTTCATGTGAAAATGAGTATTATAAGGAAATATACTTTTGTGCAATAATGATATGTGTAGAATTTTTCTGTAGCTTTAAGATTCTGTTTAGATCAGATTTAGAACAGTCCCTCACACTGTTGTACAGCAGTCCATAATAGCTAAAACATATATAAAGCACAATGACATCTTGTGATTAATGTATCTTTAACATAGCTGAACAGCGATTTTTCAACAGCAGTGGATTTGAAAAAATGTCTTTGAATCCATGTTACAATCAATATAGAGACCCAATAGGTTTTACTGCTTTGCATTTAAATTAATTTAAATGTTTAAATTAAAATAAATGAAGATGCATACTTTCTGATCTGAAAGCCATCAACATGTTTAATTTTGCTTTTAATAATTACCATTTTATTGGAGCAGTACAACTCCACTGAAATGTTAATTATCATATTAACAGTTTTAACTAGATTCTAGCAAGATTGTGACCAAGGGCAATTATGATCTACAAATATCATGCTGAATGCAAAGGCAAATTATATGTATGACAAATAAGTGCAGCCCTAAACCAGAGCTTTGAGGTACACTGGTAGTAACAGGTAAGAACTCAGATATTGTTGTCTGAATATAAACTTGCTGATACCCAATACTAAGATAAGATTCAAATAACTGAATTAAAAATTTTATAAGGAGACAAGAACTATTTAATATGCACATTAAAGGTCACCGGCCATCTATATTGTACAAACGTGTGATATTATTAGAGTCATAAACAAAATGCATTTCTTATGTATGCACACCATAAAAATGCTTAATTAAAACTTAAAAATCCACTTTTGGAAATGAAAACATTATTTGGCAATCTCCGTAAACAATCAGTAGTTTCCACATGCAAAACATGGATATGACGTACATTTATCCCTTCCATTCAACCTTGCCATTCAAGTGCTTAATTTCCTGATGTAAATGTCTATGTAATATATCTTATGATCATGCTTTTGTACAGCAAATATGATGCATTGTGTTGCATATGGATGTAACCAAAAGAGTGGTGACGGTAAAAAGGATTCTTTCTTTTCTGAAAGACCCGGTTGACCAGAAAAAAAGTGAATTCAAGCTTTGAGAGAGAATAGGGTGAGGGGATGGGAAAGTTGTATCATTAATGTCGGATTATAGTTAATTTGGCCCAAGACAATTCAGCCCAACTCAAAAAAGATAATTTGGCTCAACTTAGCAATAGTTTGAACAATTTCTTTTTCTTAAAACAACAAGTAGTTACTACGTTAGATATGTTTCTGGAATACGTTTTAGGAAAAAACTAAATTTAAACAAAACTGGTATTTTTTCAAATAAAATAATCATATGATGTGATTATGACTTTTAACGTAGCTTCAATAATTTTTCAGTCATATCACTATGATGTCTGCAGTGTGGCAGTTTAAAGTGCTGTCTTGCACTGGAGCATCATGTTGCAGACAAGTAGCATGATGTCCCACCCAGTCACATCCTGACACCAGGCTGACTAGTCCTAACGCTAGCCACTTAATGTTGAGAGTCAAGTGAGACAGCTGTTAGTACCATTTTTTAAGTCTTTGGCATGACTCAATCGGCGATCAAACCCATGACCTCCCGCATCTCAGGCAGATGCTCTAACCACTAGGCAATCAGAGCCATTGAAAATGATCATATTTTGCAATGTGTGTGTGTGTGTATATATATATGAACACAGACATATCTTCCTATCTTGCTCATAAAATATTTATGTACATCTTTTAATGCTAAAAATATATGTATCTACACAACGACATTCTCAAATGAAGTCTTCCAGTAAAATTATTTATATTCATTTATTAAACAATAAAACATAACAGATAATATTCTACAAAATATGTATATATTTTTCTAAGGGTAGTGTACATGAGATATTATAACAAATATGTTTAATTTTAGGCTTCACTGATGTATATAATACACACTCAGTTACACGAGAGAGAGAGAGAGAGAGAGAGAGAGAGAGAGAGAGAGAGAGAGAGAGAGAGAGAGAGAGAGAGAGAGAGAGAGAGAGAGAGAGAGAGAGAGAGAGAGAGAGAGAGAGAGAGAGAGAGAGAGAGAGAGAGAGAGAGAGAGAGAGAGAGAGAGAGAGAGAGAGAGAGAGAGAGAGAGAGAGAGAGAGAGAGAGAGAGAGAGAGAGAGAGAGAGAGAGAGAGAGAGAGAATATTGTTGATCATTTTGTCAATATTGCTGCAATATGAAGCTCTTACCAGTTAATTTTATTTTTTTTAAAATTGTCTTAGTGTGTACACATGTAAATTAAAAGTTTGCTATCATTAGTCAATCATATTTGCTACATTATTCCATAAAAATAAGGGATTAATTTAATATTTAATTTGTACCCCCTGATAAAAGGAACCCTGCATAAATATACACTTATTTTAAAATGAAATCAAAGAAAAAAAAAACTTGCATTGTTATCATTTATTCCTTCATTTTTCATCATACAAAATTTATTGAAGAAAAAATATACCCACTAAGTATATCGCTTAGGTCAAATAACAAAATAAAAAGAGAAGAAAATATCACCTGATTGCTTGAAGGCAATTGCCATTCACACATGACATTACAAGGTGCAAACTGACCAAGATTATATTGTATTCAGGTTAACTATACAAATAAAAATCATTATTTGAAAATACATACACTGTGAGTGCAAATAATAATCTTTTCGCTATCATGGGTTACAAAAGTGTTAACAATGCATGTTATTGTTGTGTATACTATTTGCCCTGCAAACATAAATTATGATCACATCTGTGAAACAAATAGAAGCCCAGTGATGGATAAACACAACATGGAGCGAGCAATAAACTTTTTCCTTAAACTTTCCAACAGGATATCAATACAAAGGTAATTTTATTATAAAGTAAATAACCCTGAAAACTGACTTTGGTATCTTTTATGTGTGCCTATTTATCTTATGAAGTTGGCTGACATAAGGAAGTCAAGTTTGGTTTCTTTAAATTCTTTTAAGTGTGCTGATTTTCTTTTCTCTTTTTAATAAAGTCAATTGACATAGCGAAGACAACATTGATTCCTTTTTTACCTGTATTAATGGGAATTTTTAAAATAAATTGAAACAAAGAAACAGTTTTGAAAGCGACACAATCAAGTGAATCGTGCACGCATATCAATATACGGCTGAACAGTAAATTAGTTTTCAGTAGTTTCATCCAAGTGTTCCCTATCCAGGGTTTAAAATGTGATTGTCTTATTTTTCAACAAGAAGAAGCATGTACTTCGTCTTGTGGGGATAATTGTAAGTCATTTCCAGCTGGTGTCCTTTATAGGTGGGAAATCGTATCTAAGGGATAGTAATTGTATTGTATACTTCTTTTTCGAGTAATTAAATTATTATTTCTTCTTTAAACTTGAAAATTCTTTTTCGTCTTTTTGTGCAAGTATAACCACTTTTAATTATGTAATGCAAATCTGATGTAAACAGAGTGGCCGGTGATCTTTAAGATGGAAAAAAGAATGCTGCATGAATCTATTTCAATCCAGTCAAATTGAGTTATTATGATATGAAAGCCAATGAGACTGGATAGTCAAGAATGCTTTCCAAAGTGGACAAGACAGAAGTCAGAGAAACATACTTTTTACAGCATGCTTTTCAACAGTCTCCAAAAAAGCTAAAAATATTTTAAAAATATATGTCTGAGCTCTTTTATGACCATACTTGATGTGTGTTTGTGTTCTATTTTGTTCTGAACTTTAAAGTGATCATAACAATTTAAATAAAGTTATCCATCACTTTTGTCTGCTGAGATTGGTTGATATGTGGCAGATGTATTCTTGAATGATGCAGTAATTTCCTCTATAGTCATGCCTTTTGTCTCTGGAACCTTCAGTAGTGTGTACAGCCAGAACATGGCCAGCATTGCCACGAAGGGGATGAAGGAATATTGGCCTATTGTGTTCTGCAAACAATTAAAAAAAAGAAACCAATTTAAATGGAGAATGTGTGCAGTTTTTATTTAATTGTTATAATGTTAAATACTACTATTAACAAGGATTTATTATAAAGCAGGCATTCAGCTGTTCAAATATTACATAAACAGCCATCAATGGACTTTTGATGAGCTATAGGAATAACTACTGTAAAGTAATTTAATTTCTTAGGTATTATTTCACTGGTTTTGCAATAAAAACCCCAAAAGGAAGATACAAAATAAATAATACTATAACAGCTGTGTCAGTTTCCAGATAATGAATATGCCTTTTAAAGTGATTATCAGTTTCACAGATGGATTATTGTTAAATTAGTCTTTAAATCTATGATTCTTAGCGAATAAGAAATCCACAAATAGTGGTAAAACACAAACAAATTCACTTCAAGTCTTTGCCAGGAAGAAGTGCCTTCCTTATGCTTTGATTGAAAACTACCAGGAAAGGCACTGTCTTACTGCAGAAAAAAACCCATCAATTTTGATTGGTTATATTTCTAGTCTAAATGTGTATACGTGATGCTGTTAACTAGCTGATGTACAAAGGGAGGTAACTCACTAATGTTTTGCAATCAGTGGTCATACAGTTGGTCTGAATTTAAGATTACAACAATAGTTAACCCTTCCACAAATTTTAAATAAGTCACATTTCTGACAAATGTTTGCATTATTATATCTTTGAAAAGACTTTAACTTTTAATAAATTATTACCTGTAGAATGGGGAAAACCAGTCCTACAATGAAGTTGGCAAACCAGTTTACAAGAACAGCTATGCTGACGGCTGCTGACCTGGGACCCTGTGCAAACAACTCTGCCACAAAGAACCAGGGAATTGAGCCTGTAAATAATGAAGATTTTCAAAATATTTTCACTGCATAATTGGAATCTCTCCATCCGAAATATGAAATTCTCTTTCAGCCTGTAAATAATGAAGATTTTCAAAATATTTTCACTGTGTAATTGGTATCTCTCCATTCCAATCCAAAATTCTCTTTCACTGATGCTACTCAGATATTACCTGATGGGGGATCACCCAGGGAAGTAGAAAAATGGGGGGTTTACTATTGTTCATTATTTACCCAAGTCTCAAATATTTGTCTCTTTTTCTTCCTGTTCTATTCTGTGTAGTCTCTACTAAAGTCAAAGTCATCATAAGATTCACCCTGCCCTGTACTGAGAACTTTATTTCAGTCTGTTGTCGGAAGGGGCATAGGAATATCTTGTTTAGCGAGCTTTAACATGCTGGGAAACTGTTTCTTTATGGTTGTTTTGTAGAATTCTCCATAGGCACTGTCTCATGGATATCTTTACTCCAAAATCTGCCTACTCTGCTGGCCGTAAGAGTTGGCACCCAACAATTTAAATTCCATTTTCAATGTGCTATTACAACTTCTGTAAATGTTACACAACATATATAAATATTGGTGTTGTGTTGCAACCAATGTAATGTGAAAAGTCAAGATATCTGAAGCTTTGCAGCATATTTTGCTATCTTTGATGATACATGAAACCCAAAACCTGACATTATTAATTATTGCCTTTCATTTGGCATGAAGTTGCTGATCTTGTACTTTCTTTATTCTGCCAATAAATGTGCACATCTGTATTAGCTTGAAGACAATCAGTAGTCTCAGCCTCCTGAAATGGACCAAAATTTGTGCATCTACAAATGCGAGGAAAGGGTATCAACTGCAGAACCCAGTACACACATTTTTCTGCTATAAACATTTAGCTGGATTTACTATCATCCTTTTGTATTAACCTATATCAGCATATGTTATAATAGACTGTAGTATTTTGATCAAATAAATATCCTTACTATTAAATTTTTGCTATGATTCTTATTTATTCAGTGTATCGTTAGAGTTAAATAAATATTTCATACAGTGCAGAATGTATTTTTTATGCTTGATTTTGAACAAATTTGTGGGAGTTATCATGCATTACTGATCTCCAAATATGCACATTGTTACAATTTTGCATGATTTGCATAAACGAGTACCTGGCACCATAAGTGAAGTTACAGAATGGAATTTACTGCAGTAACACATAAGTAAATTATTTAAATTTTCCCATTTCTACAGAGAAACAATTGGAATAGTCTGTAGCCATTCAAATTGCTGTGAAATAGAGGCTGGAATGAAAGATTTATTAAAACAGTTGAAAGTTCCTGCTTTATTTAATGAACATTTATACCATATTCAATACAATACATGCTTATGCCCTAACAAGTGCAAACATACATCAGACTATGGTCAAAATCTACTTGTAAAAAGGAGCCTGGGTCTTTCTTCCCCTATCATGCCTCAGGGACAGACAGCAGCAGATAAAATCCACCATATACATTCAAACTGCAAACAATACATACCCTGATCTGCCATCTTATAATAAAATCACTGTATATACTCAAACTGCAAACAACACATACCCTGATCTGCCATCGCATAATAAAATCCACCGTATATACTCAAACTGCAAACAACATATACCCTGATCTGTCATCGAATAATAAAATCACTGTGTATACTCAAACTGCAAACAACACATAACCCTGATCTGCCATCACATAATAAAATCCACTGTATATACTCAAACTGCAAACAATACATACCCTGGTCTGCCATCTCATAATAAAATCACTGCATATACTCAAACTGCAAATAACACATA